TTCGTTGTTTTGATATTTCTTAAATATTCTCACTTCCTTAGATGGTGTATGGGCTTAACAATAATTCCAAAGACGAAGCAACATCAGCATTTTGGCAGTCAATCAGACAAATTATAAATAATTTATACACAACTAAGATTTCAACAAAGACCCTTGGTATCACTTTCCAAAATTTCAATTGTAAAAATTAAACTGCCACAAGTTTCTGAAGAGATTAAAAATAATAGCTGCAGAAATAAAGCCTGTGTTACCACTTGCAGTTTTTTGTTTCCAGTTTTGGCTAATTCAGATTAGTTCTGGGTTATAAAGCATGTCATCTCATTAGACTATTCTAGTATCATGATCATCTCCCATGTGTCTTTAGACAATGTCAGTCTTAACTGCAGCTGACAAGGCTGAATCTTATGAACAGAATCTATCTTCACTTAAAATTTCAGTTCGTATACTCTTACCATATTGACCCAGCCACGCCACAGCTAAGTATTTACTGGATAGAAATAAAAACTTAGTGTCACCAAAAAAAAAAAGAAAAATGAAACTTGCACATAAATGTTTATAATCACAATTGCCAGACACTGGAAACAACTCTAATGGATAAACCATGGTACATCTATACAGTGGAATACTAGTCAGCAATGAAAAATCCAAGTAGTGACACATACAAGATGGATGAATCACAAACACGTGTTGCTTTGTGACAAAAGCCACTTATATAACATTAGGAAAAAGCCCTAAACTATGCGGACAGAGAACAGATCAGGAGTTGCCAGGGCTGGGGTGAGGAGGAATATGACTGGAAAGGGGGAAGCGTGAGGGAAATTTTTGGCAGAGAAACAGAAAACAAACAAACCAGCCCCACTCAGCAGACTCCAACTCCTGGTGCCCTCAAATGCTTCAGAGTAGATGTACGTTCTGTAGGATTCAATGGCTGTGAGCTTTAAAGTCAGTCACCAGGCCTTTCCTCCAATGCACTCTGCACCTTTCAGGGACTCCATGGAAATGTTCTGATTTTTGATCGCAGTGATAGCCCCACAGGGTTTCCAAGGCCATAATCTTTACTAGAGCAGACTGTCACATCTTGCCCCTGCAGACTGGCTAGGTTCCAAACACCAATCTTTCGATCCAGTCAAGCACTTAAATCACTGCACCACCAGGGCTGCTTGATAGATAGCTGATTCTCTCTGTGTGTCTGTCAAACCCCATTGAATTATAAACCACAAAAAAAATTTTACTGCACGTAAACTTAAAAAATTAGAAAGTTAATTCTTTAACTATGCCTTGGTTCAAGATCATCCACAAAATAGGATTAACTCAATGGCATGGCTTTCTTTCATGTTTATCATAGCTGTTGTTGCTGTCATTGTTTGCGAGGACTGGGATTAGCAAGAGATGTTGGGGAAGCTGCCAAGAGCCAACCCCAGTCTTTCTCAGTCTTGCAGTTTCCTTTTACTGGCAATCTCTTTGAGGCTCGAGATCTGGGCAACCTTTCATTAGGCTGTGAACAGCCAGACGAAGTTCTACAAAGGATATGGGAAGGTTACTCAAAACCAACTGCAGACAGACTACATTCCATAGCAAAGCCCAAGAAAGCACTTCACGAGAAGAAACAAAGAAGGATGGAAGAATACAAATTCTAAGCTTCTAACTGTAGTGTGTGCCCTCAAGTCAATGCCAACTCACAATGGCCCTACATGACAGAGTGGGACTGACTCAGAGAGTGTACTAGGCTGTAATCTTTACAGGACCAGGTCACTAGGCCTTTTCTCCCGTGGAGCCACTAGGGGATTCAAACCGCCAACCTTTCAGTAAGCAGCTGACCACTTAACCACAGGGTCACCAGGGCTCCTTAAGATTCTAACTCAACCTAATCGAAGGCATCAGTAGAAAATGTCACTTACTCGTTGGCTTCCTCCCTCCTAAACCAAACAAACAAGTTGCCATCAAATCAATCCCGACTCATGGTGATCCCACGTGCTCCAGAGTAGAACTGCACACTGTGGGGTTTTAAAGGCTGTAACCTTCTGGAAGCGGATAACCAGGCCATTCTTCCAAGGCACTTCTGGGTGGGTCTAAACTGGTAACCTTTCTGTCGTCATTGTTATGTGCCGTGGAGTCGCCCCGACTCATAGTGACCCCACCTTGGGTTTCCGAGGCGGTGTCACTACGGAAGAAGATTGCCCAACCTTCCTTTCGAGGAGTGGCTGGTGGGGTTTGAACCGCCAGCCTTCTGGTTAGCAGTCAGGTGCCTTAGACACTATGCCACCAGAGCTCCTAACCTTTCTGTTGTTGTTGTTGTTGTTGTTATTTGCCGTCGAGTCAGCCCCGACTCATAGCGACCCCTCCTTGGGTTTCCGAGGCAGTATCACTACGGAAGTAGGATTGCCCAACCTTCCTTCTGAGGAGCGGCTGGTGGGTTTGAACCTCCAGCTTTCTGGTTAGCAGTCAAGTGCCTTAGGCACTATGCTACCAGAGCTCTGTTAGTAGTCCTAAAACTCAGAACTAAATCTGTTGCTGTCAAGTCAACTCAGACTCATTGTGACCCCACAGCACAGAGCAGAACCGCCCCACAGGGTTTCCAAGGCTGTAAACCTCTGCAGAAGCAGACAGCCACATCTTTCTCCAGCAGAGCAACTGGTCAGTTCGAACTGTCCACAACTCCATTAATAGCCGAGCACTTAACCACTGCACCACCAGGCTCCTTTTTAGTAGTCCTAGACCCTCCTTTAAAATGAGTCAAGGTGAGTGGAGGCAGGGAATTTCTGAGAGAAAGAAAGAGGGGGAAGAAGAAAAAAAAGAATTCTACACAAAAGCATGTGAGGCTAAGAGCCCTGGATCCAATGTTACTTCACATGGAAAAAATGACACTCTCTATAGGCAAACGATAAAAACAAGCAAGGGTTCAACACCCAGTTACACTTTCTTTCCAGCGTGCTCTCTTCAGCCAAACCAGCACATTCCTCCTGCCGAGGGGATGGCCCTGCACGTTGTCCTTGGAGACGGCTGCAGGCAAGCCAGGGCCCGAGGTGGGGCTGCCTGCACAGCCAACAGTGTCGGCTCCGCACAGGCCTCAACTGTGGGTGCCACCATGTTCTCTCCCAGGCAGAGACATGCTGTGGCTTTTTCTCCACATTGGCATTCCCAAACCCAGAAACCTCCTGGCCCAGGCGCCCTGGGCCTGTTACATTGTTACACCTCATCAGGAGATCAAACACCTGCGAGAAGCCTCAATCCAAGACCAGCTCCCCACTGCTGCCCGGGAGAAGCAGCTTACCCACCTTCAACAGCCTTTGCAGCTGGAAAGACCGGCCTCTGTGCAAAACAAGTGCTGTTTTCCAGGACACGTCTGAGGGGGAGAGGGAGTAACAGAGCTAAAAACCATCAACCCCGGGGAGTTCAGAAACCAGAACATTCTCTGACATGCAACGCCTTACAGAAAAGGTATTTTAAACACATAAGCAAGAAATATTCCTTGCAGAGGGTTTGCTGTCAAAATTAAATAAAAATTCCTGATTTCTGAAAGACAGAAGTAAATGACCGAATGCTAAAACAGCTTATTGCATTAAGCTAATTAAACTTTATCATATTAACCATCTGAGTTTTCCTTGGCACTGGGGATCAGAGGCAGCTAGCTCGCGATACAGATCCGGGGCTGCCTCCACAAGCAGGTTCCTGCCAGTCACAGACAGCACCACTGGCCGGCCAAAATGATGAGATGGAGAACCAGTTTTCGCAGTGATTTGTAAAGCATTCTGGGCCATGATGCAAGCTCCTCACTGGTCTATCAGTCCAAGGCTCCATTTATCCCTATTGCATACTGCACAAAGTATTTTGCGCTAACCGTGCACTCTTGTTTCCCTTCTGCCAGTTTTATCACACGGAGCATGTTCTGTAGTCAAATGAAAACCATTCCAACAATAAAAACCCTTGCATACTTGACACCCCTGGCTACAGATATTCTGCCCACCAACTGCCAGCACAGAGCTTAACCAATTCTAAGATCCTCGGCGCCTCTGAAAGACTCCATTCTGGTGAACACGCAGAGGGACAAAATACCCACTTCAAAGTAGAGGAGAAATTTATTTTCACGTCATTTCTGCTATGGGCTCCTCTTGACTGTATTTGTACCAAACCAGCAGAAAGAACTGGTTCTATCTGTGGTTGAGGTCATATTGGATTTGATTCTGGAGCTGCTGGTTTCCTGTTTGGGGAAGTTACAGGAACCCCAAGGCAAAATGTTTAGTGTTCCCTTGCAAGCTCTAACCGTCTTTGTTCTTCACTTTCCTCACTACTGCTTTCTTCTCTCCTCTCCCCTTTTGGAGGGTACATGAAAAAGGCCACCAACCATTCCTATACAGCACTGAGTTCCAAACCGGCATCCTCCTTTCAGAGAAAAAGCCAGACTACCCGGTTTCCTCCTGGTATTGCATCAGTATTCCACATTAAAATGTATGCCACACATAACTCAATGGCGAACTCACCGTCAACAACCCCCACAATCAATAAAAGACATTCCACCACTGGACTCGGAGTGCAAAGCCCTTCCAGGTAGCACAGAGAGCAAGGTTAAAGAAAGGTGATGAATGAACAAAAGGCAGATCTACCTGCAGACTCCTCAAATCCTGAAAGGTACCTAGGCTGCTGGGTTTGGCGAAGCCCTCCCCTTTTCTGTAACCATCGGGAAAATGCTACATGTATAGCTCTACCTATGCAAAACAGTGCCTTCTCCACAAGGCCCTGGTGCTACCAGTCTCTAAACTTGCTTCTTCCCAGGCCTGTATCTTCTAAATGCCTAGACACATGCAATTTAATGAAGTCATCCTGATGTCGACTTGATAGCAATGCCAGCAACAAAGTCACTCGAATGCCATTAAACGTGGATAACGTTAAGAGTATTTCTGCTCCACTCAGCCCAATTTTATCTCCAGGGTCCCGACCATCAGTCTCCGAGTGGATCTGCAAATAAAATATTTACAGTCATGCTCAAAAATATCGTATCTCACCTTGTGAACCTTGACCTTTTGGAAAGACTTGGGACCAATGTTCAGTTACTGTCACACGGTTGCATTCTCTGCAAACATGAAAGGGTTAAAAGCAGCCCCAGTCAACAGGCCTACAAGAAAAAAAAAAAAAAAGACAGCATGTATCCCTTGCAGCATCCCTGGAATGCATTTATGCTCATTTCCTAGAACAATACTGTTACCTTTTGGCCTTCATAATAGTCAGAAGTCTCCCCAACACCCTTTAGCAGCTTCTAAAAGGAAAAACACAAAATAGAACATTCCCTGCAAAAGACAGCATGCAAAGTAGCATTCGCCAGCAACAAACAAACTACTATTACAAATGCATCAGTTCATTTTGGTTTGGTTTTGTTAAAAACACAGAAAGAAAGAGAGAGAAACTGCATAAACCAAGTGTCCCCACCCTAGCAAGACACATTTTTTTCTTTAATAAGGGTCATAAATCTCAACTCCCTGTTCATCCCTTAAGCAAAAGAAAAAGGCAGGCAAAGCCCAAGTAGTCTCAGATCCTGCAAACCTGCACGTTTTTCCCTCTCCTCTACACAGAATCTGAGGGCTCCATTCGTCACGTACCAGTGCTGTGTGGTGTCTAAGTGTGTATTCACATACTGTGTTGGGATGGTACCTTCCTGCAAGCGTCTCTGCTTTTGGCTGCCATGAAGGGAGGAAGCTGCTATCCCACTGTAGTAGCTCAGTGACTGCATTGTGTTCAGGAGCTGATCTGCCTCAAACCAGTTTCAGCCGGTTCTGGTCACCCTACATAAAAAAGCTATGGCAACCCTCGCTGAGTTGCCAACAAGTCCCTGAAAATCATCAGCACAGGGGAATCTCGCTAAGGGTTGCTTTTCCCTTTTAGGTCTTCATGAGGCGGGGAAGGTCACCGTGGGTCCCCCCCACCCACCCACACACACACACAAGCACACCGCCTTGGAAATGCTCACCTCTCAAGCACCCCAGGGCCCCTCAGGCCCATCCCCCCTCCTCTCCACCCCACAGCCCACCACAGACCCTGTTTCCCCCTCCTTCTCCTTCCCCCACTTACCTCCCACAACCTGGCTCAGATCTTTGTGTACCTGTGTGTCAGTGTGTGTTCCCTGGCTTGGTGGCTGACAAAGACCCCCAGGAAGGAAATCTATGTGTGTCTCCTCACACAGGATGCGTCGGGCTGCAGGAGCCGGCCTCGGCCTCCCAGCACAGTGCTGCTGGTTGTTGACCAAGCTCCTCTCTGAGCCTGTCACCCCCACCCCACCCAGCCCCCTCCTCCCTGCCGTCCCTCTCCTCGCTCCCAGTCCTGTCACCAGCAGCAGCAGCAGCCCCCCCAGTCTCCTCCTCCTCCTCCAACCTTCTCCTCTTTCAAGCACCTGGGGGCACAAGTCCAAATCCCTTCACCTCAGGGAGGAGACCTGGGGATGTCGGGGTGGAGTCGGGGGGCAATTTAGGGGGCAGAGGGAAGAGGAGCCGAGAGGCCTTCGGGAAAACCCTCTGTGCCCCTCCAGCGCTGCAGGCGGAGGAGGAGAGTTCCTGCCTTCACGTGCCCCCCTCTCTGAACCTGTGGGCCTAGCAGAACCGACAAGTCCTCGGGGCCCCCCAAGGAAGCTGGCAGGGCGCGAAGGCCAGCTGTCCCCAGCCAAGGCTGGGGCAGGCCACTGCAGGCAGGCCGAGGGGCCTGAACCTCATGCGCTCACCCCAGCCCGCAAGGGTGGGCACGAGGGGCCGCGCCCCTGCTCGCCGCGGAGCCCGCCGCGCCCCTGCCCCGCTGCCCTGCGCCCCTCTCGCCCGCTCACCCCGGCCCCCCACCCGCCCCCGGAGGCGCACACCCACCCCCTGCCCGGGGTTGGCCTTCGCAGCGGTCAAGCCCGGCGTCTGGGCCGCAGCTCGGATGACCTTTGTTCAGCGCGGCGCCGCCGGCGGCTGCTGCTGCTGCTGCTGCTGTTGTCGTCGTTGCGGCGGCGGCGGCGGCGGCGCTTCCATGTTACGGGCGTGTCATCTGCATTCCCGCTGCCGGGGTCTGTGTGTGTGCGTGTGCGGTGGAGCGGCCTCGCCGCCTAAGCC